CTAATGCTGCCAAAGTGATCTCCCACCACTCACAAATCAATACGTGTAGAGCAAATGATGACTTATTTTCCAACTCACTCCTCCTCACCGCCTCACTACCATCTTACTGCATACCCATGAAGTTACCAACTTGCCCTCGGCATCCCCTATAAATACAGATGCTATTCACTATAGCTAAAGGTTCACAATCTAAAAACCCCAAGAGCACGCATTATACAAAATCAAGAACACATAATTCTGTTATCCACTCAAGCTCAAGTTCATCAACTGACTTGATCGTCGGAGGTACGGAGAACTTATCCACGCCCTCTTACGACTCTTTGTGTACAGATTGCTCAATCATCCTAAGTCTGAAGTCAGGCATAAAGTCGAAGAAGAAAGTGGCCCCTTACAAACTACGTGACTTTCCCTTAAACTCCACTCAAGCTCAAGTTCATCAACTGACTTGATCATCGAAGGTACCATGGGGGAACTTAATCCCGTCCTCTTACGACTCTTTGTGTGTAGATTGCTCAATCATCCTAAGTCTGAAGTCAGGTATTTTATCTCAAAAAAGGAAAAGAGGCCCTACGGTAGGTGCCAAACTGTTGATGTTAAATATCACACAGCCAAATAAAGTCACATAGTTTACAAGGGACCGCTTTCTTCTTCAACTTTATGCCTTACTTCGGACTTAGGATGATTGAGCAATCTGCACACAAAGAGTCGCAAGAGGGTGGGGATAAGTTCCCCCGTGGTACCTCCGATGATCAATTCAGTTGATAAACTTAAGCTTGAGTGGAGTAACAGAACTATGTGTTCTTGTTTTTGTGTAGTGCGTTCTCTTTGGGGTTTTAGATTATGAACCTTTAGCTATAGTGAATAGCATCTACATTTATGGGGGGTGCTGATGGTAAGTTGGTCACTTCATGGGTATGTAGTAAGACGGTAGTGAGGCAGTAAGGAGGAGTGAGTTGGAAAATAAGTCATTATTTGCTCCACACGTGTTGGTTTGTGAGTGGCGGGAGATCACTTCGGCAATATTAGGAGCCAGCAGCCGACAAGTCTTTGAGACTATTGAGGATGGAGACATAATGATGATCATCAAAGATTAAACAATATTGAGAAGTGACACATGTGCTGACAAATTTGAGATAAGGGCAATCCTTTAGCTTCGTCGAGAAGCAAAGCCCATAGGGTTGTATCTTTGAGTTGCTGACTCTCGTGTCGACCAACACCGCCTTTCGTGTCAACTCAGGAGTGTCAGTTTGTCCGATTGGTTGGAATGTCATCTCGTCTCAGCTAATAACCATCTCTTGAGTCGATATAAAGATGCCGACTTATCTGGGAGGTCAAGATCTCTCATGTCAATTATCACTGCTTCTCGTGCCGACACTGGGGTGTCAGCTTGTTGGGTTGGTTGAGATGCTGACTCATTAAATCATATATTCGTAGAACAGATATGTCCCTTAACAAACATAGAGGGGACTTTTGATCTCTGATTTGAGTTCTCTAATCTTATGCTATCTTAAGCAATTCCAATACATTAAAGAACTCACGCAGTTCTTCATTTCCCTACTCAAGTTCATCAGCTGACTTGATCTTCGGAGGAACCATGGAGGAATCAAGCCCCGTCCTCTCATAAACTATTACTTGTGCAGGCTTCAGCCACTCAACTCGGAAACAAATATTCAGGGAAAGAAGCGGCCCCTCATCAACCTCATCCTATCACCTACGATATAATTGACTGTTTGATAACTTAACATCAATAGTTTTTATCAGATGTCTCCGTGGATGAGGTTGATGAGGGGTTGCTTCCTATCACCTACGATATAATTGACTGTTTGATCACTTAACATCAACATCTTCAGAGACATCCAAAAACTGTTGATGTTAAGTGATCAAACTATCAATTATATCATAGGTGATAGGATGGGGTTGATGGTGGGCTGGTTCCTTCCCTAAATATTCATTTCTGAGTTGAGCAGCTAAAGCCCGCACAAGTAATAGTTCATGAGTAGACAGGGCTTGATTCCCCCGTGGTTCGTCCGATGATCAAGTCAGCTGGTGAACTTGAGTGGGAAAATAAAGAACTACATGAGTTCTTTAATGTAGTAGAATTGTTTAAGATAGCATAAGATTAGAGAACTCAGGTCAGAGATCAAAAGTCCCCTCTATGTTAGAATAGTACCTCTATTTATACTAATGGTGGGCAGAACCGTCATTATGGCCGAGCACAGGATGGCAGTGAAGAAGTATACGATGGTGGTTACGTCAGCATCTACTTTACAGGTGTCGGTTGGTGACTAGAGGAGGGATAACCTCAGCATTAAATGAGAAGCGATTGGAGGCATGGCGGTGCTAACGTGGTCTCATGAGTCATGAAGACTATCGGGGCTAGAAACATGATGTTGTCTACCAAGCATTATATGCAATGCTGACACATTGTCAGTGGGAGTTTGAGGTTGAAGTCACTACAAGAAATCCTGTATTTAACGACCAAAATTAGTGAAGGGACTAGTTGACCGTCATTAATGTGCATGTAATAACGACGGGTTTTAAAGCCTTCGTCAAGTGATTACAAATATTAGTAGAAAGATGTGAGATGGGATAACGGCTTTCCAATCTCTTCGTTAATTTGATCCTAATACCGTCGTTATTGGGTCTCCTTAAAGATGAAGGGGTTCATTACCTTCATTGATGCTATTCCTAATCATAATAGGACTTATAGATTAACCTATTACTATTAATTAACAAAACCCACAACCAAAATCCCCAAAGCCCCGAGTACAACCCGAAACCTGAAATTAAACCCTGAAAAAAAATTTGATTTTGGTTATAAATTTAATCCTGCAAAACTAATACCGTCGTTACTATAAATTAAACCCTACAAAATTTAACCTATTACTAATAATCGCCGCCTCCATATTAATTAAACCCTAAATTAAAAATAATCCCCAAACTCAGCGCCGCTGTTATCGTCGTCTTGCTAATAACCACCGTCACCTTCATCGTGTTAATCATCTGAGCGCCGCCGCTGCTCCAGCGTCCCCGACCCAATGTCTCTCGCCGCCCCAGCGTCGCCGGAGTTCCCAGAGCCGACGAGCTTCGGAGGACTCTTCTTCCTTTGAGCCGACGAGCTTCGGAGGACTCTTCTTCCTTTGGCTAGAGAGAAAGCTCTCCTTGACAGCAGGGACCGAACTAGGATTCTCAAGGTGAGACTGCGATTTTTTAGGATTTTGGTTATCGTAGGGGCTTTTGAGATTGTGGCTAGGGCTTTTGATAAAAGCTGAGAAATTTGGATTTGGGACTTTTGATATCATGCTGTGTTATGTGCTTTAGATGGTGGGACTTTGGTACGTTTTGATTTAATGTGTTTCTTGTCTGTGATGGTCTAGATTTTTAATACAGGGAGCTTTGATTAAGTAGAAAAGCCTGAATACTAATCCAAAAATCACCGAAGACAAACAAAAAGATTTGATGGAAGTTATAGACTATTTACAGACATTCAGTATAGGGTATTTTTCATCAATTGTTCCTATAGGTACATGATATAGAGCATTTTCATCAATGGATGCAAAGTGTTATCCAGTTCTAAAATAAATACTAGTTATTGATATGATTGTGAGGGTATTTTTAGAAATATTAGGGATTCTTGTTTGGTTTAATTTGCACTCAAACAGTGTGGGGTCAGTACCAAAGGAATCTTTCAATGTTTTCTATTCCTCCCATCTGAAAAAGTTTGATGTCACCATGGAGATAGATGAAGGCTTGTCCATACTCTCCTGTAATAGTTTTATGGTATAATCTCAACTTTATTTCAGAATAAATATATAAATTGCAGTCTCAGAATATGCTGTTACGCTAGATCCAGTAGTGTAGGTTCATCAGAAAGTTTCCAATTGTTGGAGTCCATTTTCTGGAGAAATGGAGACTGGTCATTGAAGGTCCCTACATGCTGGAGATAATAAAGACATTGGAAACCACCTCTGGGAAAATTTCCATAATTATCACTAGTTAGGAAACATATGTTATATTTCATATGAGAAAGACATTGATTTACTCATGCAAACAAAAGATTTAGGATAGTAAATTTTATTTTTCTCTGTTACATAAGTGGTTCTTTAGTTAAGTAATAGTGTCGTCAAACAAGTTGTGTATAAGCCAGACTTAAGACTTTGGATCACTCATTGTCCAACCCATTCCTTTGACCAAAGCCAGGCCTCAGTGACTAATAGGATGCGGTGAATTATTCAGATTATGTATGCATATTGCTTAACTATAGTTATCGTTCATTGCTGGTGATTGCTGTTGTTTTGGCCTTTTCCGTGTTCTACTCTAATAGTGTCACTTATATTTGCACATTGCTTTTTTCCTCCGTTGTAAGCTACTCATCAGTTGGCCACAGGTCTTTTCAGAGCGTGGATCCTAAGCCAGTCAGTGTGGGCTCTAATTGAAGGAATCTTTCCATTTTTAGAAATATTAGGGATTCTTGTTTGGTTTAATTTGCACTCAAACACTGTTTTGTTTAATTGCACTCAATTACCTACAGTTTCCCCTACTTTGCACTTTGCCTTAAAGTACCATATACATGTTGCAATTATATACCCTATACATGTGTGGTATTTACTTTAAGTAAAATGAATTTCAAATGATTATTTCTTTAGCTATTCAGACGTACTTGTCAAGCTTGGACATACCACTTTCCATTAACAAGTTATTTTGTTAGTTATAATCATAGTTCCTATGTCACATGTGCTTTGAAAGGAAAATGAGTTTTTTTTTTACTAATTTGTTCTATTTACTAATTTGTTATATGGTAGTATTTTTGCCTTTAAATTGACCCTATAATTGCATAAATAAATACTTTCTGAATGACACCATATATAGGTTAACTTCTTTGCATTAGAATGACCATATATCTGAACATATGAGTCTCTACATAAAATTAAGCATTTATTTGTGTTTAGTTTTTGAAGTGGTTGAAATATATTTCAGGAAATTTTAGTACATAGCTTGAAATGGCGCCGAATAAAGATTGGATGGACCTAGTAGATGATGATAGACTTGATCCAAAATATAAAGAAGGGGTTGATCAGTTTTTGGACTATGCATATGAGAAGCTGTTGGATAGTTTTAATGAAAAGGATGAAGACTTTGAAATTCGATGTCCATGTATTAAATGCAGCAATGTGAAGTCTGGTAATCGTGAGTCGGTAAAGACCCACTTGATTATTCATGGAATTATTAAAAACTACAGATTTTGGTGTCATCACGGCGAAAGACAGGGTGAGTCCATTTCGGAGTTTGATGAAGAACAAGAAGAAATGATAGAAGAAAGCCAGAGTGACGATGAAATGCAAGAAATGATTGGAGATTTATTTCATAATTCAACTGGCGTTGTTGCACCTGATGCCACGTCGAGTCAGGATATTCTTGAGCAGGAACCAGATGGACATGCAAAACAATTCTACAGTCTTTTAGGTGACTCCGAGAAACCTTTGTATGAAGGCTCTAAATGTTCAAAGTTATCTTCTTTAGTGAAACTACTTCACATAAAGAGCCTAAATAGGTGGAGTAATAAATCATTCTTAATGTTGCTCCAGTTTTTGAATGAGGAGCTATTGCCAGGGGAATCAACACTACCTAATTCGTATGACGTGGCCAAAAAATTAATCCGAGACCTCGGCCTATCATATGAAAAAATTGATTCGTGTCCATTCTCTTGCATGCTGTTTTGGAAAAATGAAGAAGATCTTGATACGTGTCAGAGATGTGGTGCTTCTAGATGGAAACTTGATAAACATGGAAAAGAGATCAAGCGAAAGGCAAATGGTAAAAAAATACCACAAAAGACATTGCGATATTTTCCTCTTAAGCCACGATTGCAAAGGCTTTACATGTCTTCGAAGACAGCTTCTGATATGAGATGGCACCATGAAAGACAAGTTGAGGACGGAGTGATGAGGCATCCAGCTGACTCTAAGGCTTGGAAAAACTTTAATGAGCTACATGAAAGCTTTGCCGAAGAGCCCCGAAATGTTAGGCTCGGTCTTGCAAGTGATGGTTTCCAACCTTTCACAAATTCAAAAGTTTCTTATAGCATATGGCCCGTTTTACTTGTACCATATAACTTACCACCATGGATGTGCATGAAGCAATCTAATTTTATTTTATCTATGCTCATTCCTGGTCCAACTGGTCCTGGAGATGCTATTGACACCTACTTACAACCATTGATAGAAGAACTAAAGGAGTTGTGGGCCTCAGGCGTTCGAACATATGATGTATCTCTGAGACAGAATTTCATTTTACGTGCAGCACTAATTTGGACTATTAATGATTTTCCTGCTTATGCAAATTTATCTGGATGGAGCACTAAGGGAAAATTAGCATGTCCTTGTTGTAATAAGCACACTCACTCTATCAGGTTAAAATATGGAGGCAAGCAGAGCTATATGGGGCATCATCGCTATCTTGATGAAAATCACAGTTGGAGAAAGGATAAGAAATCATTTGATTGCACTAGGGAGAGAGGTTATGCAGCGCCGAAGCTGACAGGAGATGACATCCTTAAGTAGGTGGAAGATCTTATAGGGATCACCTTGACTAATCATCCAGAGAAGAAAATTAAAATATCACACGAAAGACGGGGAGATAATTGGAATAAAAAAAGTATTTTTTTTGATTTGCCATATTGGAGAACTCTCTTATTGCGACATAATTTAGATGTCATGCATATTGAGAAGAATATTTGTGATAGTCTGCTGGGAACAATCATGAACATTAAAGGAAAGACAAAGGATAATATCAAAGCCCGTCTCGATTTACAAGCAATGAGTTTAAAACCGAAGTTACATCTAATCCAGAGAGGAGATAAACTTGTGATGCCAGCAGCTTGTTATACTTTATCCCAATAAGAGCAAAGCAAATTTTGTCGATTTCTAAAGGAGTTAAAAGTTCCAGATGGATTTTCTTCTAATATTTCTCAATGTGTAAACCTTAAAGAGCGTAAGATTTTGGGGTTAAAGAGTCATGACTGTCACGTTCTTTTGCAGCGCTTGATTCCTGTATCGATTCGTGGCCTTCTTCCTGCAAAAGTGTGTGAACCAATTATTGAACTTTCTATTTTCTTCACTATATTATGTGCCAAAACATTAAGGGTGGATGAACTAAAGAAAATTGACGAGCAGATTCCACTTACATTATGTAAGCTTGAGAATATTTTTCCACCTTCAATTTTTGATGTTATGCTGCATTTAGTAGTTCATTTAGCATCTGAAGCCATACTTGGAGGGCCTGTTCGATTTCGATGGATGTACCTAGTGGAGCGTCAGCTTTATACTTATAAGTCATATATCAGAAATAGGGCACGTCCAGAAGGGTCAATTGCTGAAGGATATATAGCAGATGAATGCATGACACTTTGCTCAAGATATCTAAAAGGCTTCGAGACAAAGTTTAATCGCCTTGAAAGAAATTATGAAGATGACAATAGAGAATGTCATGAAGCACATCTATCTATATTCAGACATAGTGGGCGGGCATTGGGTGCTGCCACCACCCGCTACCTTGATGAACGTGAGTGGTTGCAAGCTCATATTTATGTTCTAAAGAACTGTGATGAAGTGCAACCACACATTGAGTAAGTCACTAAAGTTTAAGATTCTACTAATAAATTTACTATAGTTAGTCAACGTTAATCATATTTATGATATTTTAATGTAGGGACTACAATGAATTCGTGAGAGAACCCACAAATCACTATGATGATAAAGATTGGGATAAGAACTTTATCGAGTGGTTCCAATCTCTAGTACGTATATATCTTGCCTTATTTTTTAAATATCTTGATTGGTTCATTTTATTACATGTTCCATGACTTGATCATATTTTGGTTTTGTTTAGGTTTATCAGAGTTATCGAGAAGATGATGACTTACTTTCACTATCTCGTGGTCCAAGTAAGATTGTTAAATGTTTTACTGGATTTGTCATAAATGGACATCGATTTCATACAGAAAGTCGAGATAATTGTTTGTCAACTCAAAGTAGTGGGGTTGCAGTTGTTGGTGATGCTGGTGATGGTGGAGATATAGATTATTATGGTGCTTTGGTTGAAGTTGTCGAATTAGAGTATCCTGGTAGAAGAAAGGTTGTTCTATTTCGTTGTAAATGGTGGGATGTGCACGGCAAAGGAAAAGGGACCGCTTTGAAAGAAGACAAATATGGATTTATCAGTATTAACTGCCGACACTTGCTAAAGACGAATGACCACTTTATACTTGCTGGCCAAGCATCACAAGTTTTTTATGTTGAGGATATTGCCAATGAAGGTTGGCATGTAGTTCTTAAAGCACAACCCCGTGATTCCTATGATATGCCACCAGATACAGATGATTGTGAGATAACAGACGATGGAGTTGAAGCTTATTTGCAAGATGAATCATTTGATGCTCAGGCTATTGCATCAACATCATTGGAAGATGATTATATCAATTTGAGAAGGAGTGATATTGATCCAATTATTGTAAATTCGGTCTCAACTTCAAAAAAGAGGAAAAAGACTCAAGCAGAGAATTAGAACGCTTTAATTAAAGAATAGAACACAAATGATATTGTGTTATTGAGATAAAATTTAAGTTGTATCTTCACTATAACTATTCCTTTTTTAGACATATGATGTTCTTTTCTTCATATTTTGGATGTGGCTTTGACATTGCAGCAAGTGCTTCTACATTAGTGTATTATGTATTTATTGTTATGCTTGTCCTTCGTGATATCTTCTTCTTTTATTCATTTCTCTTTTGATATTTGTTTCATACATAGTGTGTAATACTTAAATTCCTTTTCATAGCAGGAAAATGAAAACTCAAGAAGTCACTTCCAAAAGCAAAAAGGCACAATTTCTAGCACCCAGGTCATTAATTAGGAAGCGACTTCAAGCAATTGCAGAAAATTCATTAAGAAGGGAACAACTCCGTACTTGTCATGACATGAACTTGAATATTCAAAATCCAACACAAGATCAAAATATGGATGCAAATTTTAGCGCTGATTCAGAAAACTTTGAAGAGGAGAATTTTGCACAAAATCGCAGGAGAAGTGCAAATACTAACAATGAAGAGAATGATGATTCTGCAGGTTGATGAGACTTAAAATTTATTATTATTTGTTTTTATCTTTCAATTTATTTTTTATGATTGGATTAATAATTGCTCAATTTTTGCAGAATCAGATAATCATCGAGTGCAAAGTGATGATGCAATACTAAATGAATCTCGACAAGAAGGTATATTCTTTATTAATTACAAGAAGAAATATTTTTATCAATTACTTTAACTATATCTTGTTTGTAACATATGATATGATGTATGCAGCTGATAATTCTCAAAGGAAGAAAAATCCACCTCGTGGTAGTAATAAGTGTCTAAAGTTGAATAATTTGTCACATGGGGAGAAAAAAATCATTACTTTTTATCAGAATAGAGCTATTGAACCAGAATTTTCACGATATCTTGGAATTATTATTCGAGATAGAAATATTTGCCCAGTAGCTGTTGAGAATTGGGCCAAAATACCACAGCAAAATAAAGATCATATGTGGGCATCCATTAAGGTACATTGAAAATTAATTTTTATCAATTGGTTTTTAATTCTTATAAATTAAATTTTGATTCAAATTTGATATAGGATAAATTTGATGCTGATGACATGGAGCAAAAGAGAGAGTCAGTAATGAGACACTTGCGCGATTTGTGGAATAAGTGGCGTGGTGACATGCACAGGAAATATGTGAAAGAAAATTTATTGCAAGTTGCACTTAGAAATAAACCTACAGAAGTGAGTGTTGATGACTGGGATTGGCTAGTTAAGGAACATTATTTTTCTTCAAGATTTCAGGTATTAATCTCCTAATTTTATTAATTTTGTTCCATGTATATTGTTGGATTATTAAAATTATCTTTTAATCTTGATGTATAGAAAGCAAGCCAATAAAATACACTTAACAGAGGCAAAAGAAAGATGCTCCATCACACGGGCAGCAAATCCTTTAGACAAATTGCGTGGGAATTGGTATATACATTCAAAACTAATTTCCTATTTATTTATAACTACTTTGTTTATTAGTTTGATGTTGTACTCATTTGTATTTAATATTTGAATAAGGGTGGCAAGTCAGGAAATCCACCTGATGTGGCAAAAATGTTTCATGAAACTCGAAAGAAAGCTAATGAAACACTAGAAAATGGGGATCAAGATAAATATGTAAGTAGAATATGTGTTTAAGTTTGATAATGATGCATTATATAGTACTAACATATGAATTTAATTTTTATAGGATGAAATTGTTCAAGTCAAACAAGCAAACCCTTCACTTTCTGACATTGAGATAGTTGAGAAAATCTGGGGGAAGCAATCTCATGGTCACATCACTGTATTTGGTGGCGGGACTACTTTGAAAGATTTGAGAGGACCGCTCCCTAGTCGATCTGATCTGGAAGCACGGGTTATAGAAGAAAAGAGAAAGAACCAGATGCTTCAACAACGCTTAGATGAGCAGGAGCAACAACAACAAAGGATGTCTGAGTTGGAGTCACAAGTGAAAGCTATGCAAGAACTTTTTTTTAGGCAATCACCTTCATTGACTCCTCAAACTCGAGAACGTGTGCAGGACTAGGTAATTATTTTTTGTAAAACCTCTTATATACTTTTATGATTGACTACTTGCACTAAAAATATGATTTTTACTTAATAAGATAATATTTCCTTAATTGATATTTCTTAATTATGTGATTTTTTTTAAATTTTTCAGGCTATCCATGCAAGATTAGGAGGGGGTAGTTCGAGTCTTCTTTTGACGATGATTAGAGATGAAAGAATGTGTCTTCCCCAAACTTTTATTTTAATTTGTTTTAGATAGTTTCATGTATTTTTCTTTGGAAAAATTACAATATTAACTCTTATTATTAGTATTGAATATTTGAGGATGGTGGAATTTTATTTATTGATGTTATTAATAAATGGAATTTTTATTTTACCTCTTATTCATTATTGGGTATTTTTAATATATTTTTGTTGTGAATCTTAGTGTCTGGTTGAGAATAATATGATAGTTGCCTATGAATGAAAAATTTATTATTAATGTATATTAGAAATTTGTAGTCTACAATGACGGTTTTATAAACCGTATTTTGTTCATCAACGAAGGGAAAGCACCGTCGTTGATGGGTTACTAATTACCCATTATGAAGACTTTTACGATGGTATCCAACCGTCATTAATTAGTCTTCAACGATGGGAAAATATCCCCATAACTAATGGTAACGACGGGAAAATATCCCTGTAACTAATGGTAACGACGGGAAAATATCCTGTCACTGATGGTAACGACGGGAAAATATCCCCGTTACTGATGGTAACGACGGTGATAATTACCATCGTAAATATTAATGACGGTAATATGTTCCGTCGTTATAGACTCTATAACGACGGGTAGTATATCCCTTCGTGACCCTTTAGCGAAGAGGGCTTCAACGACGGGTGACGAAGGGATTTTTCCCCGTCGTTAGCATACAATA